ATTCCAAAATTCCAAGCTCATCTACAATAATCATTAAGATATCGAAAGTGATTAACACTAAAGAATAATGGAAGCTAACGAACGTCAAATAATAAGTCAACTGACAATCGGGGTCATTGAATGTCAAGGCTATGATCGAGGCATACTTTGTATGGGCTATTCCATTTAATATCCGTACACCCCCTGTCGAGGATACATGTTTTTCATTGTTATACCCCTGAAAAATTCCAAGCTCAAAACCTTTTACCCCTGAAGAATTCCAAAATTCCAAGCTCAAAATCCTTTACCCCTGAAGAATTCCAAGCTCAAAACCTTTTACCCCTGAAGAATTCCAAGCTCAAAACCTTTTACCCCTGAAGAATTCCAAGCTGAAAACCCTTCAGCCCTGAAGAATTCCAAGCTGAAAACCCTTGCCCTGAAGAATTCCAAGCTCAAACCTCTTTACCCCTGAAGAATTCCAAGCTCAAAACCCTTTCCCCCTGAAGAATTCCAAGCTCAAAACCCTTTACCCCTGAAGAATTCCAAGCTCTGAAAATTAATCAAAAACACTTTACCCCTGAAGAATTCCAAGCTCAAAACCCTTTGCCCCTGAAGAATTCCAAGCTCAAAACCCTTTACTCCTGAAGAATTCCAAGCTCAAAACCCTTTACTCCTGAAGAATTCCAAGCTCAAAACCCTTTACTCCTGAAGAATTCCAAGCTCAAAACCCTTTACTCCTGAAGAATTCCAGGGATCCTCGACAGGGGGGGTACGGATATTAAATGGAATAGCCCAATCTTCAGTCGTACTGTATTTTTATTATATTTTACAGTAATATTGTAATCCAGGATTCTGAAACACAGTCAGTAGACTCAGTACAGTTAAATGTGGAAACATGTATGCGTTTGTTCAAAAGAATTTGAAGAAAATAGCGATTCGTACTGTAGTTTTTACTTCGCGCCAAATGATAACCGCGCGGTCAATTCCCGCCCTCAGCGAAAGAATATAGCAAAAGTACCCCATTTTCAAACCACGATTACTAGTCGATTTCGTCGAGCTACTTTGAGTTTTAAAGTACGAATGGAAAGAATAAACTTTCCTTAATTCTCTGACGTGTTTTATTTTAATTTCCCATCAAAAAAATGAAAGTAGCTTCTGCATTTTTTGAAAGCCACTTTTGTGGCGTGTCCACTGACCCGAATCAAGCATAAATACAATACGTAATTAACTTAACTAAAAAGCAATTTCTGTACCAAACAAGTCGAAAATAGTTTAAGTAGGTTATTAAATAATACAAATATAAAAACATACCTTCGAAAAAATGATGTCTCCAAAGATAAAAATCGCAATATATTTCAACAACTTTTCACCAAACGTTTGTCGAAAATCGCAATTGTGAATAATAATGAGACGCAATGCATGCCGGTATAGTCACCCAACCTCCTCTGCTTTACCGCTGAAGGGCTACCGTTTTCAAATAATTATAAATAATAATAATATTCTATTTTAGGTATGATATTGCAAATGCACAAATTTCAAGTTGAACTGGAGGAATCCAAACAGAAACACTTGGAACAAACAGAAAAGATTAAAGTTCTCGAAGCGAAAAACGAGGAGTGCAGAAGCGATATAAACGAGTTGACAAAAACTAAAGAACGGTTGACAGAGCAAAGTGGCTTCTTACAAAAATCGCTCGACAGAAAGAAAATAGAAAACAATGAACTTTCGGAAAAATTGAAGCAAGCTGATATACAACTTCGAGAATCTGGAAGCGTTTTGGCAACTGTGAGAAACTTGGAGTCGAAAAATGAACTTTTGGGCGAGAAAATGTCGAATGTTTTGCTGAATACTGAAGAAGAGATTGCCAAAGCGAAGACGGAACGTGAGCATTACATGAAGTTGCTGGAAGATACAGCTGAACTGAATAAACGCAATGTAGAGATACATAATGAGCTTTGTAAAGCGAAGGAGATTGGGGACGAATATACACAGCAGGCTAAGGTATTTATAAATTGCAGTACAAAAAATGTACAAGTAGTGTATAGGGCTCCCATGGATGGTTTCACTAAAATAGTTTTGTGGTTCACTGCCTACAAAATCGTAGTTCACTACTGACTACAACTGGTTCATGTTTAAAAATGTAGCGAACTATTCGCTACTTCCAGGGGCGAAACTAGGCCCTTTTAATTAGGGGGTGTCTGGCAGAATTGCCCTGCCAAAACCAATGATGCCCTGCAGCCTGCAGTGGCTGCGCTGATATACACTAAGCTACGTGTATTGAACTACCGATGCCAATGTACATGCATACGAACTGCTATTGTTTGCTAGCTGTAATAAGTTAGTATACTTAATAACTCTACATTGTATCATTTAAAATTGTACTCATAATCATCTATTTAATTTTATAGGAATTTTTCGCACTTTGATTGCCCTGCCAATCGGGATGATAATAACCCGGCAGACTAATAATCTGGCTGTCTAGAGGCATGGTCCTCGGAAATTTTTTCAGAAAATGTTTCTTTTTTTTTCTCCGGAAAATTTTTCTGCAAAACGCTATTTCATGTAGTTTAGATGCGTTTTATGATAATCTGAAAGCCACAGATTTGGTATGAAAAAATTACGCCAGCCCCCGTTTCTTTTAAAAATTACAAAATTGGTCCTGAAGAAAAGTCGGAGGAGGGGGGACGCATTCCCCCCCCCCTCCCCATGATTACGCGTCTGGTTCGGACCTATTTTAGCATTTACTAAAATCTAAATTTTTTGAAGATATGCGTCGAAAAATCCGAGCAATTCTCCTCCGAGATTTCCAAAACTTTGGATGAAATTCAACGCGTGAAACAACAATTCACAGAATACAATAACGACAGAGTCAGAAACTGTTTGAAAGAGAACGCGTCGCTACTGAAAGAAAACAAAGCTCTCAAACAGACAGCCATGGATCTGGAGACGAAACTTAATGAACAACAGAAAGGAAACGAGGTTTTGAAAGAGACGTTGGTGAAAACGGAAGGAGAAAAACAGGAGCTTTTGAAGGAAGTCCATTCCTTGCAAAAGAAAATACAAGAGAAAGTAGCAAAAAGGTAATGTGTACCATTTGCTTTTGCTTTGAGCTGATTTAAGGCCTGATTTCTTCGTGAGTAATTGTGTCTAAGAAATATGGATTTTGGCACATGATTCTGTTGAATTTTCCCACTGTTTTTTCCGCTTTCGTTGTGACGTCTAGACTATATATATGGCTATAGGCTTCGCGTTTAACTATTGTGTTTAACTAACGGTTCTGCAGAAGACTGTCTTTAAACCATTAAATTCCAGCGCTACCTCTTGACGAGTAAAATATTCTGGCGTTAGACAGAGCAGGGTTTTTTTTAACGTGCAGTTCTACACAAAATGTGCAGTTCTAAATCAATTTGTGCAACTCTAAAAAAAAATTTGTGCAGTTGAAAAAATATGAACTTTCATGATATGGATATTTGTTCTGGAATCATTAGGTTAAAGTAATAGAATCAAAATATAAATGGAATGAATACAGCTTCAATAACAAAAGCAGTATATGTATCAGAATATTTATTTCAGTTTTCTTATAGGAAATTTAAACTAAAATGTTTTCTTTTTTTTCTTTGCTGGTTCCTCTTCACAATCTGCCAACTTCTCTTCGAGTTTCGCAGCTTCCGAGAATATTCCCT